TATACAGTTATTTAGGATATGTGCATCGTGCATTTCAGACATTCAGTCGCCAGCTGTGAGGTTTGACAGTTCAAAGCCGGTCATTTTGTTCTTTTTATTTAAGCCTATTTTACCCCGTAATTCCCAACTATATTGACCCCTTCCTCTTCAGTGTCAGAAGTGTTGTTTTGGCCACCTAGCCAAACACTATTGCTTTACAGCCTGCTGCCCTCTATGTGCCAAACCTTGTGATGACATGTTCAAATTGCCCTACTAAGTAACATACATGTGCCAACTGTGGTGACTTCCATAATGTATTTTGTATGAGCTTCCCTTCCTATAAGCTTGAATGTGGGGTAGCATTTCTCAAATTCAAACTAGGCCTCACTTTACATGAGAAGACAGGAGTCATGATGACAAGGTTTTTCTCTCTCTACCTATTCTAAAACATTCCTTTGCTCTGCACCCCCTCCCCCCATCTTCACAAGATGTGTCTGCATCTCCCCCAGTATCTCTTCCCTCTACCCTGAACCATCCTACCTCTACTCTCCCAATCCCCCAATCAAATCCTGTTTCCATTCTAAATCCAGATACTCCAGTCTCTACCACTTCTCCAATACCTACCTTTCCTCCCCCTCACTGTACGCATCACACCAGACAACCTAAATGTTCTACTCCATCTTCGCCTTCCACACCATCTAGTTCACCCTCCTTTCCTTTTCCTCTGCTCCTCAAACATTTATCCCCTTCTCTCCTCCTTGCAAGAGATCCTTTGTTTCTCAGACCCCCCTACCCAAATCCCCTCCAGAAACTCTTTGAAGACATCGAAAAATTCCTAGACCTGACCCAAGAAAATGTTCTGTAATACAACCTGTGCTCCCAGTCACGGAAAGCAGAAATAGGGTCCTAAACTTGGAAAGAGCATCCTACTCGGAGCCATGGTTTTCAGATGGTACATTTCATACTTATTTTTTGCTGGAAAATGCAAAAGCCCTTCCCTAAATGCCCACCGAGTCTAATCGCCCTCCAAGAGCTTTTTGCACTTATGGCAAGTCATTCTCGTGACCCCAGTCTTCAGCTGAAATTCTCATGATGACTAGTTCAAGTTACCTGCCCCTCAAGCTAATTTTTTTTGTGATGGTCACATCAGGATCATAGGGGTTATTAGGTTCATCCAATTTTTTGTTGTAGCATATGATATATAATGAGATAGCAACCATGATATATACTCCTTAATTTTTTTAAATATTGAAACTAAGTTGCTAGATACTTACAATTCTGGGAAACCATTAGTTGGTCTTCTTAGATATGTATTTTTTATTTTTTCCTCCTCAGAATCGGTGGTGGACAAAAACAGGGTAGAATACCCCTGGTATCACCGCCAGTTCCGCCGCGTTCCAACGATTGACGAATGCTACACTGACGATATTGTGTGCTTTATTGAAGCGGATGAACAGTTCAAGAGAGACAGGTAAAGGAGACGAGTAATTTTACTAACTGACTGTAAAGTAGCCTTGGGCTTTAGACACATAATGGAAAATAGTGTGGTCTGGCTTGTATGTAAGTGTATGCATAAATTCTGGACCTGCTTCACAGGTATGTGTATCTAATTTTAATGGAATTATATTATTAAGGCATTTCATTATGATAATCTGATGTACACTTCCATATTCAGTGAGACATTTGCATTGAGTGCTATGGACTTGGTACAACAATGCTAATTTCATTGTTTTATGAAGAAATTACTGTAGTTACACGAGTCTTATTTATTTTTATTGTTTTTGTATTGGTTTTAGAGTTAAAAATATAAGCAAGGGAATTAATATTAGATATATCAGATAAAAGGGTGTTTGTGTTTACACAATTCTTAAAGGATTTTTCTTTCTCACAGAATGGTTGACAATGAAGTCCTGAACATTCTACGTCAGCGCAAGGAGGACTGTGTCATGTACGAGGGTGCAGATAGCAAAACTAAGTGTGCAAAGATGATCGAGGATTATGACAAGGCTGCTGAAAACTGGTTTATTAAGTGTAAGTACTTTCCATGGGTCCAGCTGATTTAGCTAGATAGTTTAAGATGCTCACTAAAGTGTATTTGTGCTATTAACCCAGTGCCGACGGGTATAAAAGTTTGGGAAGTGGACGTAATAATGGGATTGTTGGCGTGCATCGGGAGTTTCCCCGTTTGCGCCTGGCTAATTTGGTAGTTTGAGAACAACATTTGGCACCTAAAAGCTCCTATTTTTCTATAATTAAGAATATTATAATTTTGAAGGCTTACCTTCATAACAGGTGCCTAAAATCTTTACCAAATAAATGAAGCCACTACTATCGGAGAAAAACAAACTCTGTCCGACGAGCCAATGACGCGGGAATAGGCATGATACAATGTGACTTCATTTATATGGTAAAGATTTTAGGCAATGGCACCTATAATGATTTTTAAATTTTAATATTTTTATAAATTATAGCAAAATAAAAGCTTTTAGGTGCTAAATGTCGCTCGCAAACTACCGATTGAGCCAGGCGCAAACAGGGGAAACTGCCGATGCGCCAACAATTCTTATGTCCATTTGCCAAACATTTTTACCCGTCGGCACTGGGTTAATATGGCAACATAAAATTCTATTTACAGATATTGTTGATAGGCTTTCACAGCACATGGCATGAGAAATGAGTGTCTAGCAAGGACAACAGTTAAAAATTATTGTTCAGAGTTCATATGACTCGGTTTTTGTTAACACACTAATTATTGTTTAATCCTTCTAGATGGTGACCTAGGTGCTTATGGCAATGTAAAAGACGCCTACATGAAGCAGAAGCACCGCCTTATCTGGGAACGGCGCCATGGACCTGTTGGCTCAGGGATGAAGAGTGCCCTTTGAGGTCGCTGAAAGATAGCATTAAGACGAACCCTGATATTCCAAGATTGTCACCACTGATCTAAAAGTGATTGGGTTTGAGTAGATGGTGAGGTTCATCCTGTGTAGGATTAATCTTTACAAGTTACTACATGTAGAGGTTGACTGTGTTCATTCATACTGTGGACATGGACAGGTGTTAAGAAGTTTCATTCAATTAGATGGACAACAATGCTCTGTAAAATCACCGGAAGCTGTACATAATAAATAGATTTTATTTGGTGTTTTGCTTTTGTTTTCATTCCCTATTGTAATCTCTCTTGAAGGTGGTCTTGAGGGGGGTGATCACTTGTGAGTTTTAAGAGAGAAGGTTTTGTGTTTAAATACTTTTTTTTTTTTTTTTTTTTGTCTAACTCATTGCTTTCTCTCATTACTTCAACGTTTATTTAGGAAACCAAAGAGCAGATTTTTTGGCAAAATATTTTTACTGAATACTGACTAAAGATTTCAATTTATTTTCATTTAAGACCTCTATTAATTACCAATTAATTGATAAAAGTAAATAGGTTCTCAACTGCATTTTGTTATTTCTAATACTCTGAATTTATATCTTTATTTCCTTACATCATATTTATATAATATATACTTCAGAAAGGGGAGAGATTCAATTTATTCATTTTTATTATTTCTACATACAAACAACAGTTGAAAGGTGATAACTTACACACATTAATATTTTGTTATAAACATTTTACACGAAAAATTAGATTTAACACATATAAAATAATATAATTACACATTCTGTTTCATTAAAAATAGTGTGCATGTAACCATTCCTGAATTAAGAATTGACCTATTTCTGCGCAGCTGATCTCCACTCGTGGGCATTCTCAAAGCCATTCTGTTGGAGGTTATAGTCTGTTATAGCGTCATTGATCTCCTCTTGCGTATTCATGACAAAGGGACCATACTGGGCTACAGGCTCTCCTATGGGCTGGCCTGTTGAAAGAGGAAGGGAGTGCTTTGGGTTATTGCCAGTGGCTACCTTGGACCTCAGGCCTTACCTCGACTACTTTTCCTTGGTCTTGCCTTCTCCCCCTTTCCTTTTCTTTCTGTTCTTTGTTCCCTTCTGTCTGCATCCTAAAGTGTATGAACTGTGCTGAAAGGATGAGAGGCTGGCTTTGAGTCAGTCCTGAACGGCCTTCGTATTCTGTTTGCTTCTCCATCTTTTCCCTTTCCATTTCCATGCGAACCTACAGTGCCCTATAACCTTTGACGTCTAACATATTTTGTTCTTTTTTCTACAATATTGTATCATAGGGCTGTATGACCTTTCCGTATTTGGAGCCTCACCCTATTACTAAATATTGAATATGCTGTTAATGATGTTAGATGTTGATGTGGTAGAAAATTTTCAATAAATAAATATTGACAATGGTACAGCCTGTTACACATGTGGAGTGGGAGGAGAGGAGGACACAACGTGTATTAATTCTAAATTCAAATATATTTGTCCTGTATTTATTTATTGAAAAATTTCTGTTGCATCAAAATCTAAGGTTATTAGCAGTGTATTCAAAATACAGCGATATGGTGAGGCTTGGGGGTGAAGCCTTGGGAAAGAAAGTTTTTTTTTGTTTAGAAGGCTATGTTTATGGATTCCCAGAATGGTTAACAGTCAAAACAAATAAATGTGCCATACATCAAAGGTCATACAGTACTAGGAGAAAATATTGTGGCCAAAAGGTTAAAACGAGTTAATGATTAAGACAAAATATGTAAGATGTACAAGGCTGTAGAGCCCTGTAGGTTAATATGGTAAGGAAAAAGGTAACGAGGGAAGAGCAAATGAAGTATGAAGGCTGTTCAGGACTGACTCAAAGCCAGCCTTTCATTCTTTCAGCATGACTCACACCTTGGGAAGTGGACAGAAGAGGATGAAGAGAAGAAAAAGGAAAGAGAGAGAAAAAAAAGACCATGTAAAATTTGTTGAGGTAAGGGTTGAGGTTTAGTCTCAATCTAATAAGCTACCCCAACAACAACAATAAACAAGGGATTAGGGGGGCATTCATACTCTGAAAAAAAGGAACCCCATTGGATGAAAATTTTAGGTTATGATCTGCCATCACCAGGAATCTGTTATATTTTAGCCTGATTTTATTTTTTCTCTCCTTTTATTAGTATTTTTCTCTCTTTAGCAGTGTAAGTCACAGATGATCCTTAAGGTCAATCAAAATTGCAATATTGCTCTACTGCAATTCTGTCAAATACATAAAGATTAATAATGATCATCATTACTGTAATGTATAAATATTTATGGTTACATGTGAAACAAATTAATGTGCATTTTTACTATTATAAAGAAGACAAAATGGGAGGAAAAAAAAAAAAAAAGAAATAACCGAGATAAAAAGCAGAAATGAGACTGACAGAAAGAGAAAGAAAGGCAAGTATGAGAAAGTGGAAAGCCTACCTAAAAAACAAAAAACAAAAAAATCTTAGAACTCCACTCACCGGCAATGAGGACAAAGTGTGCCTTGTCAGGACCCATATTGGTTACTTGGACGGAGTCACCATCACTGAGGACGAGGGTGTGGTGGGCCTCACTCTCCACATCCTCCTCCTCATCTTCACTTTCTAGAAAAGGAAAATTCCATTAATAACTATAACTATAAATAAATGACATAAAATATGTTGATAAATATCATGCATGCATGGAATGTGCTGAATCAATATGACTACGCTGCTGGAATGCATGCAAGATTCCTAGGTATTCGATACACAATCATAAATGTCTGCAGTCTCAAGCGGTTTTCCAGTCCAGCTCTGGTATGAAATTACATTCATATCCAGAATGAACCAGACAAGGCAAGTAATATCAAGTATCGACATTTAGGTCTCTCGGCCAGTCATTCACTCACTTGCTCTCATACCACCAATGATTTATCTAGTTATATATATAAAGAGTATGGATGAGAAAAAAAAGCACAGAGCAAGAGTTACAATTGACGTGTATCTACATTACATTATCACAAGTAAGACTGTAAACTGAATATATAAACCCAGAACCTGCTGTGGATAACTTGTCAAAATACAATGTGATGTTTTCTTTATATGCTATGTATGTAGTTTCCATATTTTGTTTTCTGTTTATATAGTCTCTAATGAAGCACTTGCTTGATTCAGTCAGTTATATTTTCTTATCTTTATTTACATGCACCATTATGGAGTTGGTCTGATGTGGTGGAGGAGGAGGGGTAGGCACAGGGCAAGTAGAAGTTGGAGTGTCTGGATTTAGAATGGTAAAAGAATTTGACATAGAGAAAGAGAGAGGGGGAGGTAGAAGTGTTAATGTAAGGAGGAGGAAGAGATACTAAGGGAGATGTGGAAAAACATCTAGGGGAAAAGTGGGAGGGGCAGAGCGAGACAACACTGGAATAAGTAGCAAGATTAAAACCTTGTTGGCATGTTTCCTGCCTAGCCTCGCATAAAGTGAGGCCAAATTTGAGTGAGGACTGCTACCTCAGACTTGAACTTGAACTATAAAATACATGATGGTTACTTGGAATGAACTAGGAGGGGGAAGAGTCGTGATGAAAGGAGACCAAGGTGTTGGGAATGGGAAAAATTAATGTCTGTGGGGCTAGTTGATAAAAGGGCAAACCTCAATACCCCCAATAAAGGTAAAAATTCATTATTGGACATATTAAGTCTGGAGTATGTGGGTCCCCATGAAGGATATGGGCTAGATAACTAAATAGGGGAATAAAGTGCCCATGTCTCCCTGAGGGCATTCAAAATTGACCCAAAGCCAGCCTTGTATCCTTACAACATGGTTCTCATGTCTAATGAGGTGGACACAAGAAGGGGTTTGGAGAAAAGAAGGAAAGGAAAAGGGGGAGAAGAAAAGACCTTACAAAACTGGTTGAGCAAGGGCTGAGGCCCAAGGTAAGGGAGATCCCCAACTTTGAACCTCATTCCCTCCCCTAACTACACTAGGCATAGGATTGTTTCTTTGCTGAATCCACTTTCTTAACCATAAGCTTAGCTGCTAAGTGGTACACATTATACAGCACTGCATAATCTCCTCTTTTTGTACCTGATGTTTGGTCATGCTTATGATGACCATACTGGAGATGTTGGCCTACTCTTATATCAGAAATTTGAAGGAGAGAGTTAGAAGGAAGAGTCAGTCCTTGACCTTCGCTCCCTCCTAGAAGATCCATAATCGAAACGCATTAATTATTCATCTTGCTGTGAGCAGTTAAGCCTGTTCATTATCTAGTCATGCCTTTTCTATGTATCACACGTAACTGTTCTACTAAATCTTAGCATGTTTGTCTCTATGTCTAGCACTAACCTACCTGGTATACATTTATGTCGAATGAAATTTATCTCTGCATCAAAATATGCCTCATTCATACACCCTTACTCACTCTAACGTACCACACATCTATTACCTACCTGTAAACGACAATAGCAATCCTAACCATCGAACGATATCTCTCAAAACGTAACCAAAACCCCACAGATGAATAATCAAACAGCAACACTTCCTCTCCATGCTAAAACTGATGCCACAGCAATCTTTTAAAAACTGATGCCCAC